TCACCGTTTCGGAAGCGTTCAAACCAAACTCTACATGTTCTTTCCGATGGAGTTTCATCACCATACACTTCGGATAATAAGCGATACGCTTCAGCTGCGGTTTTCTTGAGGTCGAAGTAGTGAAGAAGCACACATCGGAAAAACAGCTTATCGCGATTCATTTCCAATCGATTGGAAGATCTCTTTGGCGTCGAGAAATCTAACGTGTGAGGATTGAATCAATTTCAGCGATGTCTAAACTACAAAAGACATATGACTTCATCGTCGAAACTCGCCAGCGTTGGAGCCAGCACTCTCTAGTAGCGAGCGATAGGAATTAAGTTTAACACCTAATATATTTAATATATGTAAAATTAAAATACTCAAATATGTTGAAAATTCAACATAATTTTAACAAAGACTTGAATTGGCTGTTTCTAACACAAAATGCAAACACAAACGCATATACGTATATAAATTTTTATAATAATTTTGTACAATTTATGATTATTGAGTAATTTAGTATCAGAATATGTATTTCAACACTTTTTTATTTGAGATATAATTTTTAATAAATAAAAAATGAAAACTAAAAAATAAAATAAAATAATGTTTTATTAGAAAATATAAAATTTTGTTCTAGAAAAAAAAATGTCCAGGTGCTTAATTTCATAAAGGCAATAGTCGGCATAAACTATAACATAATATGCTAGTAAAAATTGTAATTATAAAAATTGTTATAAAATAATTATAAATATATAAAATTTTTTGGAAGTATTCTGAGCACTCGATCTATCAGCTTGAGCATTTTAAAAATATTTACTTAAAAATAAATCAATCTGTTACGCTAATAATGGCATTATCACAGATATGAGATCGACTTGTCTCAATAAGTGTGGCGTTTTTTTTTTCATGAGAATTGTAAAATAATCTCAGGTACTTTTGCAAGATTATAAGATTTCTCTCACACTCTTCGAGATAAATTAAAGAATCTCTCGCGTGAATTATTTATCAGACCGAGCGATACAATTGATACATCTGGACACTCTTTGGTCCATTTATTATTTACACGACTTATTGTTATTGAGGAAACAAAATGTTTGGAATATTTCATCAGAATACGCGATTCTATATGTATTGCGAGTATTCATGTAGCAACTGACATATTCAGCAATTTTCGTCAATTCTTATCGAGGCCTATTGTTTTTAAGGCAGATATATATTATTACATTTTAAACACACCAGCTCTACCTGTCTTAATTATAAAAGTTCTTAGCGTATTTTCATCCAAATTTGCAAAACTTTCCGTCTGCGTCACAGCCGTCATGTGATTAATAGCGAACCTAATACAAAATTCTTCCAGCTCCTACAACATTACCAAATTCAATTATTCCATGCGTGTATAGATACAGCAGTTAATGAAATGTTATTAAGCGTTAATAGTGACAATGTTTAATTACTTCCTCATTGTATTGAACTGCAACGCTGTACAAATAGGCAACGTTCGATACGCTAATTCCTTGCTTTATTATCCGAACGCAGTGCTTCTTGAGATTACTCTCGCAGTAAGAATCAGCCAAGTTCAAAAGTTCTATAATGAAAGACATTGTTCTGACACTCAGGCCGATAACTGGTTTACGGTGTATTTGACTTACCTACAGTCTTCTCCATAGGTAAATTGATCATGCCAGTATATAAGTATTTCAGGAAGGTTTTGTAGACGACGTAGGAAAATTGATCAAGCTTGATGACACTGTCAAAATGAACAACATTTGATAATTTTTGATATAAATAACAATGATCCTTTGTTAAATAATTACCTTCGATTGTTTTCCGCCCAATCATGTTGAAACATGTTTCTAAAATACGAACAGCGAATCTTCAAAATAGCTTTATGCACAAAGATACTTTGGCCTTCTACTTGTATTGTGAGATCACTTGTATCCTATATCAGGACAAAAATTGTTAGTACACAAAATATTTGTCGCATTTGTGAATTAAAATTGAAAACAATGTATTACAGTTTTAAGTGTTAATTAAAGTGCTCATTCTTAGCTTCAGTATTTTTTTTCCTCCCAAAAGAAGTTCCTTAAATTTCTGTTAAAAAGACTCAAACTAAGAACTGTCTTATTATTGGTGCTTTCCGACAAGAGACAAAGGGTTCTTTTCAGCAAGGACACAGTCAGACACTGTGTAACACAGTGAATCGTTTCATCCTTATTTAACATAGGCAAATAAGAAGGATGTAACGATTCACTGTGTTACACAGTGTCTGACTGTGTCCTTGCTGAAAAGCACTCACAGTATAACAAAGTGCCCACATAGCACTGTGTAATATCACAGTAACATCGCAGTAATATTGCAATATTTCAGAAATATTACGTATTATAATATAATATTACAGAAATATTATTGATGTATTACATTGATAATCAACATTGAAATATCACAGTAATATTTTGGCAATATAATGTCTTAAGTAATAGAGTGACATTATTATAATTAATAACGCTTTTATGATGTTTTATTAACATTAGAGATATCATTAAGACGTTATTAAAGTATTACAAAATTATATGTATACGTAATCTTATAAATAATATTTAGTTTATTACAACTTTTTCAATTTATATCTAATAATATTATATAATAGTTATTGTATTAACAATCAGTATTATTTTCTAATTAATATTAGATGGAATAATTTTTAAAATAACATTAAAAATATCAATTCAATAAATTTTTTTTAAATTTCTCTAAAATGTTTTGATTTTTTCCAATAAATATAAACATAAATATCACAAAAATATTTCATAATATTACAAATATTTCTGTGATGTATCTCAGTAATATTCCTATGATTCATTTTCGCAAACATTGCAATATTATGACATGTTAATAATATTTCAACGACGTTTCTACTAGATTTCGTTGTAACATTGCAATGGAAAAATGATTTTGCTGTGATATTACTATGATATTACGTGTTATATGGGTGATCATTGTATCCTTAATTTATATTAGGACAAAGAATAAGATACACATACTTCATCATCGAATGAATTTCCCAGGCACTCCAATACACTTGGCTCTTCGTCACTGTAAAGAATTAGGGGTTTGTGCATAACGCTTGGCGATCCGTAACATGCAAGAGCGTCATACATGTTTGAAAACGTAGTGGCAGTTGGAATTGTGATCTTCTGACCACGGCAGTTACCCCATATGTAGACATATCCTTCCTCGCCGATGGCGATGCTGATGTTTTGGCAATGCACAGCCGCGATGTCGGATACCTTTCCCATTTTATGCACGACCTGACAGTACAAAATATTGATTATATTGACTTTCACTTTTTCTTTTTGTTTTCCGTGTCCTTTATGACAGTAAATATGAGTTTACCATGACTGGTTCATAAATCTCTTTCTCATCGAAGC